CACCCTGAGCTTCAGAGATAACTTGACACTAACCTCTTCACTATAGCCTATCTTCATCGTGTCAAGTTACCTCTGACGAAAATAGTTTGACCTAGTTTATATAAGCCAATCGAATCCATGTTTCAAAATTTTTCACCAAAGTTTGGTGAAAACGCTGATTGGTTGACCGTCAATCGGCAATCCTCGGCTGATTCCGCAAGCTCCATACTAACAACATAGTTATTGTCGAGTGCGGAGACATCCGAGTAGTTCCGAGTGCATAACCGTACACAAAGAAAGCATGGAGTATATCGGAATTGAAACCAGAGCAGTTTGATGCCCTGCATAATTATCTACTGAGGGATGATGTATTTTGCGTGCTGCCCACAGGTTACGGCAAGTCCCTGATATTCAGCCTTATCTTTGATTGGTCCGGATTTGAACAAAGCGCGCTTTGACTCGTTCGCGTTCATTGGCTAGATCGTTCAATGAGTTATTGAGTGCGGGCTTTAAATTTGATTGGCGGGCGGCGGAGGCAATCGAATGTGGTCAGAGGTAACTTGACACGATGAAGATAGGCTATAATGAAGAGGTTAGTGTCAAGTTATCTCTGAAGCTCAGGGTGGTTTACAGGGATGTGACCTTCAACCAAGTATTTTATACAATCTTATTTTAGGTGTTTGTGAGCTGGAGGATTTGTCCATACCTTTGGCACCTAAAGCAGACGACATTAAGGACGTTCCAGATGAGGAAGCGGAAGCTGTGGAGGAGAACGCTGACAGTGATAGTGATAGTGACGAAAATGACTCTGACGTAAACAAGGATGAACTTTAACGCATAGGAACATAGTTAAAACTATCAATTTTTTTTTCTTATTCATTCCTGGGTGTCTTATGTCAACTTTTATTTTGTGTCATACTATATTGGCTTACATCATATAAGCTGTAGCTATGTCATGTGTCATGCCAAAATAAGAACGTCTGCCTAAGTAGGTACAGTTTGTATGGCGAATAACAAGAAAGTAAAGCAGCATATTTTAAGCTTGTTGAACAAAGTTTCATTTCAAAACATATTTCAACAATAGAAGTGAATCTCGAAATAACCAAAATGCACCAGAAAAAAATGAGGGAATGGCATGAAAATGTTTTGAATGTCACGCTTACCAAATACGCGGTCATGCAAGTACTGGTAGTTGGTTCCATACCGGAAAAATAGTCTTCAGATAATATATAATTATACCCTTTAAGACACCAAGTCATCAAGATTATACATTTAAGTTATTATAGACGTCAGATTATTTGTCATGAACTTCAGACAATAATTTTGGTGTCTCTTTTGAAAATAATTTTACACATAGTTTTACTTTTTTTGGCAGTTATCATTAAAATACACGTCTGAGACGTACCTATATGGCGGACAAATGGTGATGTGCCCTGTCTAGCTCTTTGAATGATCTCAAAACTCATAGCCAGATTACGTGTATAACCTCTGTTTGGGCCATGCATAGATTTTAAATGTGATATTCACAGATGCTTCTTTTAGTTAATCGTGTGCACTTTTCTGTTTTGCTGGAATTTTTACATATAATTGAGGGAGAAATAATGAGACCAAGTTGATGTGTATTAAAATAGACTGACAGGTATAAATTATAAGTGACAGCGAAATGTATGTCATGTTAAGGTCGTGATGGTTTTCAGTCACTCAATTCACACTAACAATAACATATACGTAGTCTAATGACAGGTTTACGGTAACAGTTCATGTTGCTGAACGAGAAATCGTGAACAATTTTTTCCGCACCAGTTACGTGAGAGAGTCGCCCAACCGAATCTCCTGCCCGACTCCGCCATTTACCCGGATTCATTTTGACGGGCATCCAGGAGTTTGCGAAAGAAAAGACTTACCCCCCTCCCCCCTCCCTGTAGCATTCAGATTGGTGCTGTATTGAAAATTGTACCGCTCGATCAGAATAGGGCCTTACATCAGTTACATGTTTTTAAAAATAAAAATTATGAAAGATCTCATTAAGACGAGCCTACAATTTCTTTTATGCTGACAAGGTCATGCTTTGAATAAATAGGAGGCTGGAGGCATTGTACACCAGTTATGGTTTTGAAAGAAGGATAATTTTGTGGTTGATGACCTTTATATAGATTAAATATGTGAATAGGAACATTTCAGAGTCGTAAAGATAAAGGCGAAATTCGAGATCATGGACTGATGCTTTCGTTCCGACGGGAATGTATTTATGTTGGAAGGGAAAATATAACCCGGATAACGTGTTATGAATATAAGGGTTATTTTAAATAAATGAATGAAGAAGTTGAAATGAACATACATTGGCGCAGGGTAATAATACCGATAATATATTTATTGAAAGTCTAATATCCATTAAAAATATCCCGTAGACGTTACAATGGTAAAGCAATAACATAAGATAGATAAAATGAAATAAATAAACAGCTAAAACATAAAGATAATAAATATATTGCACAGGGTATTAAGGCATCCAAGGTGTTATCAATATGTTTTTCATGGGGTATTTCCTGCCAAAAAATTTCGCCTGGTATGAAGATTTATTTCTTAAAAATCTGAATGAAACACGTATATGAATTAATTTGATTAGATCCATGCTAAATATTCGTGATATGAATTAAAAAAAAAAAAGCAAGAAACCCATGCTATCACCTCAAAATTGTTTTTGTTTTTTTTTTCTCTGGCAATTCAGTTCGACTCCCCCCTCCCCTCCCCCTTTACTTAAAACCAAATGAAAATGTGCCACTCCATACATCCTCTTTCATCCTGTTATTCCATTTTGTATGCTCGTGACATTCAATATGAAACATACAATGGCGGAAAGAACTTATCTGTAGAATAAGTTAGATGAAAATAAACCACACTATAATACGACTCTTTCATGCCATTCAAGTGAAATGATGAAATGTCATTCTTCACTTTTAATGTTATTTTCAGCTGAGTGAAGAGAAATGTACAAAGCTTATTCAACTTATCTGTTGTCTTCTTTTGAATAAACAAGCTCTCTCAGTTCAACCACCCACCATCGTCCGTTTTAAGTTACGTTCCGAGAACCGATATTTTTAGTCTCAAAATTCAACGTGTGTCAAGGTTCTATATGCATGTTTTAACAAACTTGTTGAAAGATACATGTAATCCATACAGTTGAGTAAATAAGTTAACTTCATACGTGCTATTTCTTCTGATAATGATTTTGTATGTTTTTCTGGACGCTGGAATTTAATCCAAGCTGTTCACGGACCGTCTCCAGCGTGGTAGGCCTCCGAATCCGGAATTCCCTCTGTTCGCTTCCAGAAGCGCCAATATTTCCTGAAGAGAAGGCCCGGGGGTAGGGGGAGGAGGGCTTCTCCGCCTGACACGGCGTTTAATTTCCCTGGTTTTCATTAGGTTTGCTGAATATTTTTCTGCTTTGTCAAATTTAGTTGTGACAGGTTCGGTATTCTTTTCGATAATCGGACCGCGTTTTCTGAGACGGGAACCACCGATAGTCGAAGCTTTCCCCAATGAGTTGATATTATCAGAGTGACAGTGACGCATTCTCAACTTGGTTAGATTTTCACACAGATTACTTTGCGATGCTTCCTTATTGGACTCGTCTTCTTCTCCTTGATCTTTTAGCTGAGCATTCAGTGCGACGACGCTGTATTTCTGCAACAGAGTTTTTAACCCTGAGATGTGTCCAAATACGTCCAGTATGCGGCTACGGTGTCGACTAGCTCTGTTTGTCCTAATGCTGCCTTGCCCGCACGCGCGGTCAAATACCATATCAACGACCAAGCATTCAATGCGTCCCTTGCTCCATGTTTTAAATTTCACGTCATGAGATTGGCTAAGAATGTCTTTGGGCTTCAGCAACGTACTCATGCCCTGTATTCCCTCGGCTGTAAGTCCGCTACTTGCTACAACCGGTGTTTTAGCCGTGGTCGGGCAAATGAAATAAACCACGAGAACTGCTGTCAACATCCACGTCATCCTCAACCTTATAAATCGAAAGAAAAACTATCCGACCTGAGTATAACTAACCGACTGGGTGGTTGTAGATAGGGAAATATATATACAGCGATGATATGTATATCATTGTCATACTATGCTACATGTGATGCATTTCAATTCTCTAGCTGTGACTCAGTTGTAAGGTCACATTTGACATGGCTTATGGCCATGAAGTTGTGCGTCACTGTAACAAATGCGATTACATGACACTATAAAATAAATTCAGACAGGTGCAAAAGGTGATACATGCCTGCAGGTTCTTTTATTTCATATCCTATCAGATTCCTTTCGAATGGCTAAACAAAGTACTTTCGTCAGCTTAGCTTCCTATTTAATGATACAAAAGGGGTTGCCTTGGATATGACTTCAAGTATGCCCCCCCACC